GTGCATCCATTCGCTCCTCAGCAGGAACCATAATAAACGGTTTGTCTTTGAGAGCAATAATTATTTCTTATGCAGCTTTATCTCTTCAGCACCAAAGGGGATGAATGTTGAGTTTTTTTCAATAAATGATTGACAGAAGGGTTTAACCTATTTCTTGGAATCTGGATAAGATCGTGAATCAGACCTCATGCATTGTAGTTCATCCTTGAAGAACATTATCTCTTGCCAATCATAAAAACCCATTAGCCCTGCTTAGCTGATCAGGTAAGAGATACCAGCCTGGACACAGACATGGGTTGAACGGATTGAATATCTGCTCCCAGGGGGTTCACTGCCCTCCTCCTTGGAACCATCATCCTGCAGCAAGATTCTCTCCCCTTCCTGCGTGACAGTTCCTCATCTCGGTTTTTTCATGCTTACGACATGAGCATGCTGAGAAAACCTGGGGGGTTCCCATAAACTACAATATCTAAGAACTGGAAAAAAGATTATTCTAATTCAGAATGTAAAACAATTATTTTCCAGTTCCTTTAACCTATCTGAATCAGAGGGGCGGGGGAGCGGGAAGCTTGGAAAGAATATATCAGAGTGTTCATTTGGTGCCTTTTCTCTTATCTCAGAGCCTCTGAAGGGGGCAAGTCCTTCCTATGACACAATAGATTCTCCTGCTAAAACTTAATTCCCTGCTTATTAATCTTCTGCCAAACGAAACACAGTCCTGTCACCAGAAGTGGTGATACAATTAATGATAACAGCAAATATCTTTTCTGGAATCGTGTTATTTAAAGTAGAACTTTCTTAGATACTGAAAGTATTTTTTTTTTTAATCTTAAAGACAAATTCTTTATGGTCCTAGCAGTAATAATGGAAGTTCATCACTTCTCATTAATTTATTTCCAAATTGGTTATCAAGATTATTTCTTACTTTGTTTGCAGGTTTTGAAGACACTAAATCTTACATCCTTTTTTGGAATTTTAATTCCTCCTTGAGGGTCTGTATATAAGTGGGTATCTATATAGTTTCCTAAAAATTATAAGGTTTCTAAATTAAAACATTTAATATAAAAAAAAGTACTGTATTTTGCCACATAGAACGTGCATTTTTCCCCCCAAATTATTGAGAGAAATGTAAGGAGGAGCAACCAGGGTAATAGGGCTCCGGAGTTGGGGAGCTCAGCAGGCCCCGTGGGGCCACAGCAGCCTTCTGCCTGGGGCCACTGGAGGACACAAGGGTTCCAGTCTGGGCTGATCCAGTCTCCAGCAGGAGCAGCAGGAGCAGCTGGAGTGTCCTCTGCTGAGAACTTTAATCAGGGGAGGGGGTGGGGGCAGGGAAGGTTTCCCTGCTGATTTCTTTTATATCATGGTTGTTATAAACTTATCTCCAAGTTGACTGGGGCTTTAAAGCTGAAACCAACAGATGCCAATTGTACCCAGAATATTATAAGTCTTCAGGCCCTTCTCACGTTCCCGGTGAAAAGAAGCATTTTGCAATCTGTAGTAAAGACGAACGACATTTATTTTGTGTAACACAGAAGGACACGTGTACCAGTATCCTTCATGTTGCTTCATTTTATAAATCAGTAAAATATTAGAGAGCAATATTAAAATGGAGAAATAATTTATGGCATACTTATGCTGTGATACTCTATACCAAAAATTATTCAAAATCGCATGTATCAATTCTGAATTAAATGCAAACTGCTTGGGATCAGAAGCATTTCATTTTAGATTTAGATTTTTTTTTTTTTTATTCTGGGATACTTGGCATTTGTATTTCTGAAAATTTGAAATCCAAAATGCTCCGATGAGCATTTCCCTTGAATATCATGTCAGCGCTCAACATTTTTCTAACATCGGAGCCTTTCATATTGCAGATTTTCTGATTAGAAATACTGAACCTGCACAATACAGAACAAAACCACAACACGGTATTATATGTTTTTATATGACTCTGTTTTGCTTATGGATTGAAAGAAACAAATATACCTAAAAAACGACATGATAAGTGAGGGTGGTTGGTACACGCATGAGAACCTCTTAAGTGACTGTTGTACTTATTAGTACACATTTGATTATCTTTGTTGTTGTTGTTGTCGTTATTTTTAATTTTTTTCAAAATTTATAAACTATTTTATTAAGTCAAATACACATAGATCACATTAGATTGTATAAAAAAATCAGCACATTGATAATCTTTTAATTGAAATCTATCACCGTTGTTTTTTGTTTAAATCTCTTTTTTGAAGCAAAAATAATTGTATTACAATTAATTCTCAGCCATATTTCTTTTGGACAATTTTGCAGTCTAGTTAATGTGCATATGTAGTGCTTATATATTGTAGAATTTTTCACTTCACAAATATCAATACATATATATGTATGTATATATATGTGCCGTAGGAAATTTTTCTGGGACTCTGGCATGTTGCCTTTATATTGTCCCTTTGGGAAGACAGTGTTGCACTGTGGAAAGTACGGAGTAAGAAGTCAAACTGACCTCAGGGCAAACCACACTTGCTATAATAAGTGACTTAGAAAGATGTTTTACCCTCTATGAGCTCAGTTTAGTCCTTGATTAAGCAGTGGCTAAATTTTGTTTTCTTCTGAGATGGGTTCTTGCACTGCAACCATAACTCATTGCAGCTTTGAACTCCTGGGCTCAAGTGATCCTCCTGCCTCAGCCTCCCGAATAGTTGGGACTACATGTGCAAGCCATCACACCTGCCTAATTTAATTTTTTGTTTTCATAGAAACACAGTCTTGCAAATTGACCAGGCTGATCTAGAATGCCTGGGCTCAAGTGATCCTCTGGCCTTGACCAGAGTTCGGGGATTACAAGTGTAAGCCACTGTGCCTGGCCAACAATGGCTAAATTTAAAAGTTATTGAAAGACTTAAAGACAATTTAATTATGGTGCAAAGCAAGTGGGAGGTGTTCTATCAGCAGCAATCATTACTAACATTATTAGATATTTCTCCAACTGCAGTTATCTCTATTTGTGTCCGAGATATCTCTGAAGGAAATGAAAAGATGTGCTTCCTAAGGATTTAATGGGCACAATAATTTTGAAAATTAAAAGAGTTAATGACAAAGTTGAGGTATGACATTTAGGTTAGTTCTTTGTGGGTTTTTTTAAGTGCTTTAAAACAACCATTTTATGATGTTTGTGTCTTTGGTGGGTCAGACAAAGCACAGTACAGATGACTTATTCACAATGTGTAGATTCCTCTGGGCAGACTCAAAGGGTGAATGTTTGAATGTTACATTGTTTTCAAAGTAGTTCTGAAGATTTATTTTTAAAGAGTCAACTACTCTAGGTGGTGCCTGTGGCTCAAGGAGTAGGGCGCCGGCCCCATATGCCGGAGGTGGTGGGTTCAAACCCAGCCCCAGCCAAAAACTGCAAAAAAAAAAAAAAAAAAAAGAGTCAACTACTCCAGTGAATTTAAGAGATGAAATAGTAAAAATGGCCATTAAAATTGATAGCTGTCAAATGAAGATCAAAAAAAATTAAGAGGAATCCCTCAAAGGACAATATAACCTAAATTTAAAAAGAACAGGGTGGATTTTGACATAGAATTTTAAGGACTTGGCTGTTTTACAAAGTGGTACATTCATTTGTGATTCTTAGGAAGACTATTTACAATCTTAGAAACAATCACTTCATGGATCATGATGTGTACATCAGAATGTTATATATAGAAAAATCAGGACGTAGAGAAATAGACTTGAAATCACATTCTACTTTATGGAAACAGCCTAGATATGAGGACAACTAAGACATTCATCTGGTTTGCCTAGGCTTAATTTCTATTTCTGCAGCTAATTTAAACTCTAATTTTCCAATAAGTCTGCCCACAGATGGCCACTTTTTTAACTGTCCACGGGTGGCTGACTCACCCTGGTTCACAAGCCTCCATTCTGTATAAAAAGGAAATGGAAAAGTACCCTGCATTGTAAGCAATCAAAATGCCATCAGAAGCAAACAACATGGTTTAATTAAAAAGAAAAAAAAATCCACAGTAATTCATCTTTTCCTTTCCCCTCTTCACACAAGAAAATAAGAGGTAATACAAAACAGCAATTAAAATGAAGTCTCCTTTTGCCCTCGGGCTGTCTGAGTAGCACCTTTGCCAATGAAATAATTAACTCCAGATTTCTCATTTTTCCCCCTTTGTCATGCTGACATCGTTCCTGGTCTTCCTTTAAAACAAGACACTGTCTCTTCTCTTTCATTAACCCTAGGGTTTTCTAAGAGTCTCGGTAATCTTGTTAGTCTGTCAAAATGATAAGACCATGTGATTACAAAGCCATTGTCACTATTTGATTAGGAACCCCGATAGGACTGCACTGAACTCTCATAACCGTCAAGATAGAGTAACTGTCCTGAAATTAAAGAGTGGGTGCAGCTAGAACCCGCTCCTCCCACGGGGGCAGGCCGGAGGAACACAGAACCAAGGTGCAGCCTACTTTCTGACTGCCATCAGCCCTCAGCAGAAAACACACCTGCTGTCCTGATGTAGGACATCGCGCTGCTCACCCACAGAGACCACAGCCACAACAAACCAACAACCCCTCTAGCCAACAAAGCCACTTGGCCATATTCCATAGAGTCCACATGGCCAGGCTCAGGAGGTGACACAGTGGAAAACGCTATGTCACTTCCAACTCCACACAATTGCTCACTCTCCTGCATGTCTTCACCATGTGACAAAGGGAGATGTCTGATAAATACTGGACTCCACAGAAGAAAACACTGGGAGGGCTGAAATTATCTCTCCATTGACACACAATGAGTCAAGGCTGCTCAGCGCAGGAGAAATGGAAGGGGAAGCCCCATCAGAAGTCTGGGGCAGATAAAGTGAGCGAGATGGATAAGATGTCACCTCCACGAGACAGCCTGAGCCCCTCAGAAGAGAGAATTCTCCTAGTGAATGGCTGGTGGGACAGTGCTCTCCCAGTAATCACAGGGCCCCGGGAGAGGACAGAGAGAGAGGGCTTACTGTAGCACGCGGGAGTGGCTGAGGTCCTTCATGTCTGAGTCCTCATAGTAGGGCGTGACCATCCCCAGCCCGCTGTCACTCAGCATGCGTGTCCGCAGGGCCGGATTCCACCAGTCCGACATCCTGGAGAGAGAAGGGCACCAGACTGGTAAGCATTCACACCCAGCCACTGACTTCCGTTTCCTTTTCCTCAAGATGGTTCTTGTGTCTAAATGTGAGCAGTAAAATTTATCTTTCTTGCGTAGTTACCAGATACTTCACATTCATCATGGCATTCGTGCGTCTCAACAGTCACGAGCTATTTGTATTATTCAGCTTTCTTTACAGATGAGAAAACCAGATTCTGAGATTAAGTGATTTTAAATGTGACACAGACAAGAAGGAATGGACCTGGTGCAGAGATGCTGATCAGTAAGGAGCACGGCCGGCCTCTTCTACTATCTCCTTGTTCCTGGCTGATTTCCCGAGGAAGCAACTGACCAGAAATAAGAAGGGATGTACTCAAGGGCTAGGGGATTTTCAGGCTACTTTAGTTTGGGAGCTGTAGCTAAGCAGACCCAAAGCCGCTCCTTTTGGCTATTATTTGACATGGAGAAAATGACCGAGAGTTCAAGGCCCACAGCGCCCTGGCAGAATGGCCCACCCCTTCCTTGGTCCAGAGCTAGAGCCAGGCAGGGTGGGGAGGAGGACAGCCAGACCCCAGCACCTGCTGCCTCTGCAGAAGGACATAGCATCGCACCTGCTTCCCCTCCCCCACCACGGATGGGCCTGGTGCATAGCCATGGCCTGCCGAGGTGGCCTTCCCCACCAGTTTGGCACTCCCCAGGTGACACGAGGCCATCCCTGTGCTTGCAGGCTGTCCGTCACGCCAGGACAGCTCTGACAGCACTGGCTGTGGCTTCCTGGGAACACTCTGTATCTGTTCCATGTGGCCACTTCTGCTGTCCTGGGCTCCCCACAGACTCGGTGCTACCAGAGGACATCAGCTGACCCTGGCAGAGTGGGAGATAGTCACAAAAGCAGCAATGAGCAAAACAGAAGTGAATCAAGTAAAAGGGGTAAACGTGTGTAAAAGTTTCCTCCACGTGCACCTGCCTGCTTATATAGCACCAGTATGCATACACAATTGCCTTGGCTCCATGTGTGTGTGTGTGTGTGTGTTTCCAGGGAAACCCTTATGCCAACCATTCAACCCCCATGTGCCAGTAAACCCCTGCTTTCATTATACTCCAAGAGGACAGAAATTCCTGTCTGTTTTTATTTTTCCACTGTTGTTTTCCAAGTGTGTACTCTCATACTTGGCACACAAAGAACTCTAAATAAATGGTTTTGAATTGTTGGAGTCACCTAGAAATGTCCGTAGATGCCATTGCCACATTGTAAGAGCATTCTGTACTCTCCTAATACTTACCTATAGGTTCTGCAAGAAAATTAGAATGGAAGTGATCTTGGCAGGAATCTTTCTCTAATTTTTGAATAAGGTCATGCAAAAACTTTCACCCTTAATTATGATGTCTTGTGACATCAAGTTAATTAAGTAAACTTTTATTGAACTATAACTTAAATGCAAAAAAAAGTGCAATTTAAAAGTGCACAGTTGGATTAATTTTTACAAAGTGGACACACCAATACAGTCAGAACTCAGACTGAAAAACATTATTACACATGTAAAAATAATTTTTATACTGATCTCACAGCAGCAACTTGCTAAATTTTTTTATTACTTGCAAAATATATATGTATGGGGAGCGTTAAACAAAGACAACTGTAATCATATATCAGTTGCTTTCCGTTCCAAATCTTATCATCTAATTATTTTCTGGTCTTATTTCACTACCTAAGATCTACTCATAATATTCAATTGAAAAATTGCTAGAACCATTTTTGGGGGGCTCAGGAATAAGGCAAGATCCTTCGACCAGCATTTCACCATAAAGAAGGATTTCTGATGTGGCCTCCTGGAAGGTACTGTTTGTAGAGTTAATGTTGCTCTCTTTGATTCCACTTTGCTAAGACTTTTTGAAACTGGAAGCCGGTGCCAAATATTTTAACCTTTTTTGGGTCATATATGGAAATACTCCATTATGATCAAGTGAGATTGTCCCCTGAAATTTATATAGTTTCTCTCTTTCATTTTGTTAATTGAACTGCACAGTTATCTTTTGTAACACGTAACTGGATTTAATTTTGCAAAAATAAAATGGAAACATTTGTCATTTAAGATGATGTAAAAAAAGAAATGTTAATAATATTTTGGTGTTGCAACCATTGGTTAAATGCATGAGATCATGTGGGACTGAATCTCAGTTTCCTGTTTATTTTCTGTAGAATGCTAGGCAGGAAACATAACCTTGTACGTCTCTATTTTCTTACCTATGATCCTGGGCTAATAACAGTATCAAATATGTAGGGTCACTGTGAAATAATAATGATGGTGATGATGATGATCAATTTAGAAACATTATGTTTAGTGAGTGTCAACCAAACTCCAGGAACTAGCGCTTTACCTGTATTAGTTCATCTAATCTTTAAACAATCCTCTGAGAAGGTCTTCTTATTCTTTGCATTTTACAAATGAGCAAACAAGCACAGAGCACTTAAGATAATTAAGTCACTATGAAGTGGTGAGAGGGATATAAGAAAGACACAGCACATGACCATAATAAGTGCTTGATATGGTACAGTTAGTGTTAAGAAATCTGTATGTCCCAGGAAGCCTGGGAAAAGCAAAGAAGAGGAAAATGATTTTCAAAGCATTTATGTCCATTTTGCATTTGGAAAATAGAGTCACTGCAAACATGTAGGCACAAATGTGAGTACCAGTGTGCTTCTGGGTTGTTAGGAAGCATCTGTGTCCTGGGTAAAGAAGGCTCAGTCACAGCACAAATCTTGTCAAGAAAGAGTATTTCTACATCGCCAGTCATAAGATGGACTTATGATATGACCAGTTATACCTCACCCTAAGGAAACACAACAACAACAACAACAACAGAGTGAGCCATTCTCACTGGAGTTACGGGGTATCTCAATGTGGTTTTGATTTGCATTTCCCTGACGATTAGAGACAACAGCACTTTTTCATGTGCTTGCTGGACATTGGCCTGTGTTTGTAAGAAGAGTTTCTGTTCATGTCTCTTGCTCATCTTTCAGTGGTGTCGTTGGATCTTTTCTTGTTGACGTACTTGAGTTCTTCATAGATTCTGTTGATCAGCTCTTCGTGAGATGTGCAGCGCGCAAACATCCTCTCTCATTCTGCACGTTGTCTGTTTGGTTTATTGATTTTATTTTTGGCTATGTAAAAACTTTTTAACTTGATTGGGTACCATTTATTTGTTGTTTTGATTGCTAATGGGTCTTCTTCATAAATTCCTTCCCTAGGCTGACAGCTTTAAGGGTTTTTTTCCCATACTTCATTCTAGGATTTTTATAGTTCCATGTCTTAGGTTTAAATAGTTTCCCTCCCAATGGGTAAATGGCATGGGAAAATTGCACACTTTCTTGGGCAAAGATATACCTATAACTCTGGCTTAATCACCACAAAAACAAACTATATAACCAAATCATATGTACCCCTAACAACGATCTGAACATAAAAACAATAAAGTTGAGAACGTTTGATAATGTTTCAAGATTTATGAAAACATACCCATATATCATTCTTGAATTCTGTTTTAAAAGTAAACTTTATGAGTTTTCTTTTTGATATGCATGTCCGAATCAATAAAATTCTATTTTAATTTTTAAAATTTCAAAATAGTTTGATTTCATTACAATGTGAAGTCCAAAGCCAAGCCAGACACAGAAGCCACCTATGGCTAGCCGCACACTGGTCCCCGCACTCACCCCGAGGCTTGTTCCACTACCAGGTCGGGCATTCCTGGAGGTGTCCCTGCCGGCTGTGACACCACCATATCGGGGTCCAGAATAAAAATCTCATCTTGGGAAATCTCCATCACGAAGTGCAAATGTTCCTAGAGAAGAAAATAAACTCATCAGATGATTGATAGGATGCTCGAATCTACCATCTGAGGAATAACAAGACAAGGCACTGTGGGTCTCGGGGGAGAAGGAAAGTCTGCGGCAAGGCAGATGACCACAGCTTGTTCTCAGAAGCCTGATCAATGGACGGTCCGCCCTGAAGCAAAAGCAGTGGGTGAGAGGAAGAGATGAATCCCCTTGGTGCAGGATTCCCAGTTAATCAGAATCTTAACTAGACGTGACCAGAAAACGGCCCCATCTCTTCCCCTATCCAGCTGCTTCCACTGAAGTGACATCCCACCTGCCACTTGGTCCAGCAGGAGGAGTGACAGCCTGGACTTCTGCCCCCAGCATCTGGTCATAGGTAAGTGCATGTTATAACTGGTTTTATCACCGGGTTCAAAATGGTGTGTTTTTTTCCAGCAGAATTCAGAGAGTGAGAGGACTTGTTAACCTTGGGGAAAAGCTTTTTTTTTTTTTTCTCATTACTGAACTCTGGGGATTGATGAACTGAAACTAAGCAGCCCAGATATACACTTGGGGTCTCAAACTTATTAACCAGAAATGAGCCTAAAAAGGCATAAAATCTGGATGAAAATTTGGAGCGCAGGCTGGTGATAACGTCCACAAGCTAAGTTATTGTCTGCACTCATCGGCAAGGTCAAGCCATCGAGTCCAGAAAGCGTAAGACACGCGAAGGCCAATGAAAAGCTCACAGCTTCGGCTGCGATACTGTTCCCAAGTCTATGAAGGTGTCAGTGTGTTTCTTAGAAAAATTTGTCTGCTTTCTACCTATAAAGTGTGTTGACTTGGGGATTTTTCACTTTCATAAGAAGGGTGAAGAAAACCTACCTGAGATCTGTCTATTCGATAAAAGCGATCAGCAGAAGTTGCTAGAGAAAAAGAAAACACATACAGCCATCAGGATGTTCTGTGATCTAGCATCGGATGTACAGACTTCTTTTCCACTAGTGCCATTCAAAACCCTCACATTCACATGTGCTAAACACTGACCAGTCCCTACATCTATTAAGAAAAACACAGCATGTCTTACTGTTGCTCCCACGATGCTTACTTACAGTCTTTCCTCATTTTTTCTGGTATATAAACCTTGTCTTCTAAAGACCCCCATGGCCCAGACCAGACTCATGGCTCTCCCCTCTGAGCAGATCTACACTTCATTCAGACTGCTTATCGAGACTGTCTGCACAGACACTCTGAGACTAAGAGACTTGCCTCTTCAACAGTCTCTGTTCCATTCATTTGTTTATGTCCCCAGAAATAATGTAAGGATCTTAAACAGAGAACCGTGGCTGGATATATCCATGTATTGAGTAAATACAAAGCTAGAAAAAAACGGTACTTAATTGCTTCTTGGCCTTTTGACTAAGATCAAGTGTAGGAAAAAACTATACTTAGATGGAGTCCGCGGAAGGGACTCTCATTTTAGCAAACAGCTTGAAGATTCCGGCCAGTGATAACATCTGGCCTTAAGTGAATCATTTCACTTTCAAACGGCATCCTTTGAGCCACATCTGAAGGAAACCAAAACAGAAAAATAAATTACATTTAAGCATCCTGAAAGGGGAATTTGGTTGCACATGTAGCTGGAGAAAAAATCTAAATTAAAAATTTTATATCCCTAGAAGTTATTTTGATTATTCTTAATATTAAAAAGAATTACAGGCTCGGCGCCTATAGCTCACCGGGCTAAGGCGCCAGCCACGTACACCTAAGGTGGTGGGTTCGAATCCCCAGCCCGGACCCGCCAAACAACAATGACGGCTGCAACCAAAAAATAGCCGGGCGTTGTGGCGGGCGCCTGTGGTCCCAGCTACTTGGGAGGCCGAGGCAGGAGACTCGCTTGAGCCCAGGAGTTGGAGGTTGCTGTGAGCTGTAATGCCACGGCACTCTACCCAGGGGGACAGCTTGAGGCTCTGTTTAAAAAAAAAAAAAAGAATTACGTTCCTCCTCACATCTAAGTGAGTCTAAATATGACAAAGAGATTTTCTACAAAATAATCATAGCACGACAGGAAAACTCAAAATGCGAATGACCATTAATAAATCACAAATATTTAATGAGTAGCTTCTGTCCATAGGGAACTGAGCTGAGAAGCAAGCCCATTATGGTCCCTGCTCTCTAAAAATTAAGAATAGAATAAAATCTGCCCCAGAAGGACTTTAGCTACTTTGTTCTTTTTGACCATGACTGCAATCACCTTTTAAAGGTTTGTAACGAAATTTTCTTTTTTTTTTTTTCTTTTTTGTAATTTTTGGCTGGGACTGGGTTTGAACCTGCCTCCTCCAGCATATGGGGCCGGCACCCTACTCCTTTGAGCTACAGGCACCACCCTGTGATGAAATTCTTTATAGAGTAAAATTAACATCTGGTATAAGACTATTATCCACACCTGTAACTTTATCGAAGACTTTATACTGAATATAATGACATATAAATAGTTTCACAGTTTTCTTATGTGAATAAGTTCACATAAGAATGTGAAATGCGAGTTGTTCCTTTATGAATGCAGGAACAGCAGATGATTGTGTCTCTTATTGCTATTGGAATAAAGAAGCTCAAAGAAAATTTTCAGGGACAGCCGATGAACCAGTAATGAAAATCTGCATTAATGTGAATTCAGTCTCAGGCGTGTACACACAAAGGCCCATCTTCACACTCACATATCCTGCCACACATATCCACATTTATATCCTCTCAGATGTACACACAGATAAGTGAGGAAGAGGTTTATAAGGAATACATACCCTGTCTGCACACAGACAAGGGAGAGATGGGGTGTCAAATACACTGGGTAGTGTACAAGCAAGAATATCCAGGGCAAAATGTATTGCAATACAGGTAATTGGATAGAAACACTGTATTAGGCAGTGAGAGATGCTTGAGATAGAACATGAACTCATTAAACAATCATAAAATAATTTACCAGGCATGCAATGCATCATGCTCAGCAGAGTAGACTTGAATGCTACTGAAATTGTCTACCCTTTGGACAAAAAGCTATGTATACCCTACTGAAATGATGGTCCCCTGAAAATAATATGAAAGTTCCATAATAGCAGAGAAATGATTACCCTTCCTATGCGTACAGACCCAGCTACAGACCTAAATTCATTTAAGGTGGGCACTCAACAAGTTTTAGGGAAAAGGGACTGATGTGAGGGAGGGAAACTTCAGCCAGAAGTTAACCAACTTGCTGAGAGGGAAATGGCTTCAGGCAAGGGGCTGGATGTCGGCAAGCCCACATGGCTTGAGATGAAATGCCAGTCTTGTGAACTAACACAAAGGCTCCTGAACGATCTTTTGGAAAACTTGAGTTCACTCTACCAATCGATACCTTGCTCTGCCACTTTCCCAACCCCCCCCCAACCCCACGCCCCCAGAAATGCAGAAACACTCACCGTCTAGGAAGCACCAGCGAGGGGAGAGCCTCTGAGCTGACAGAGCCCTGGGGAAGGAGGTTTCACGGTCCTGCAAAGAGACACACATGCTAGAAGCTCCACAGAAGTGACCCGAGGGGCTCCCCTGGCCCAACACTCTGGCATGTCACCTCTTTCTGGAACAAGCATTGTTTTCTAAACAAAGCACCAGTAAGAAGACCAGATCATGTTGTTTACTGGAAACAGAAACAGGGCCCTGCTGTGAAAATTTTCATAGGACTTTTTAAAACAACTCCCCATAAAAATGTCCAGGAGGTTTTAAATCACTCCATGAAACATCCACGAGGGATCTAATACAGGATGCTTTATCTCCTCTTAGAAATTTCTTTCATTCTCTTTTGGAAACCCAGAAACTGGTGGCATCTGCTGTCACTGAGATTTGGGTTCTCCACATAGTTCTGAGGCACTTGGCACGGAATGGGAAAGAGTCAGACTTTATCTACTGGCCAGACGACATTTATTGTATGTAACAAAAACAAGAAGCCAACTACATGCAGGTTCAGATCTCCTTGGGGTAGAGCAGCGTCTGTTATTCAAGGTCATTTAGCTGCATGGAAACAGAAAATCAACCTCGTCTGTTGAGGCAGCCTCTAACCTTAGACTCCCCCTCTGATTACAGAGTAGATGAGTGTGGGGACTGGGGAACTCCACAATGGCTGGGCACTGAGGGTGACAGCATGAGAGAAGACTCAGACTCAGTTATCTCAGATAGAAAAACTGATGAGGGCCGGGAGAGGCACACACTGTCACTAGCACAGGGAGTGGCTCGGAAGTGCTGCCCCAAGCAGACGTCCCAAGGTGTTGTATGTGCTGGACACATACGACTAATAATAAAAATAGTGGAACTAAACACAATGGTTACCTTAAGAATCATTAGCAGCAAAAAACAGAGACATAAAAATGGCAAAAATGGGAAAGAATCATGAGGGCTACATCATGTGATTCTAAATATAATCAAAATAGGGGGTAATCTTTAACAGTCTTAGCTTGCTCTGGTGATTCCCATCTATACCTTGGCAGGCTCAGTCGATAATAATCTTCATTGCTAAGGCTCCATTCTTACCCCAGGGTGAATTATTGGTGCCATTGACAGTGGCGGGGTGGGATGGGATGGGGTGGAGAAACCTGGACGGTGGTCTAACAGGCTCTCAGGAATGTTAGCCCTGAGCTGCCGGGTACTGAGCACTCCCTTTAAACCATCAAGCTGTTACTGGGATCTGAGGAATCTGGACTTTGACCCACAGGCCCTCCAGAATGCTGAGCTCAGCCTAAGCTCCAACACGTCCTCAGTGAACACCCACAGACAAGGAGGAAAAAAAGCAGGGCCAGGCCAGCACGGTGCCCAGCACTGAGCCAGGAGGCACGGTGCTCATCTGCCTTAACGTTCTCTAGGCTTCTCACCTTTAAGACCTCAGACTACATATGAAAGCTATAACCTAATTATAGCCTAAGAATATGGGGAGGAGAGGGAATGGGTGGAGGGAGGGTGATTGGAGGGATCACCTCTATGGTTTATCTTACAAGGGTACAAGTGAATCTTTCTAAAAGTAGAATATAAACGTCTTAACACAATAACTAAGCAAATGACATAAAGGCGATGTTAACCAGTTTGATGAAAATATTTCAAATTGTATATGAAAACACCACACTATACCCCCCCCATGATTCCATTCAGGTACACAGCTATCATTTAATAAAAAAAAAAAGACCTTGGATTAGCCCTCTACTATTTAACATTGAGACTAGCTATGCTTAGATAAAAATATTTCTCTATTCTCCAAAGCTAGGACCTTGGTGCAGAGCTTGCACTGTCCTTTCTGCCCTCAAATTCTATTTCTGTGTCCTTACCAACATCTCCTCCTTCACCCTTGAACTCATTAAGTCTTCTGTGTCCATGGCTCGCTCTCCCTCCCAAATATATTTCCTGTTATACCTTCCATTGCTAAATCTGTCCTCATTCACCCACCCAGACGCCTGAGCTCTTGTGTTTAGTATCTACTGCCTGCAGCTCCCTTGGACTCGGTTCAGCCGTGACCTCTAGGAACTTGGCTTCTGACCCACCAATCTTCAAAGGCTGCTCTTCCCAGAGATTTTAGGGAAAATCTTGCTTCCCAGATTTAATACAGCTCTGAGTCCCCAAACTTCCGTGGAGCCTCTGAAGCTTTTATTTCTTGTAAGGAATTAAGGCTACATCAGCAGAACAGGCTAGAGAACTAAAAGATGATTGAAAATGGAAAGGATTATCTCTTAGGATTTCGAACTTTAAAAAAAAGAAAAACAATTTCCCTACCAAGAAAAGTTTTTCCTCTGATAACTAAAACAATTTTGAAAGCATTTTCTAGTTTAAAACACATGATGTGGAACCATCTAACTTGGCTTGCAGTGAAACGGAAATCCCTGACAGAAATGGGACAAGAATGGAGGCCGGGTCTCTGTGGGGAAAAGGCTGGGAGTTGGACGTTCATCAGGCTTTGGGACACTCAGATGGAGGGAGCATCGCCGGATGCAGCTGTGCTGGCAGCGACACACACGTGGCCGCTGAAGCCACAGGTGTGGATGCTCTGTGTGCACAGAGAATGGGGGTGGGGGACAGGGAGGACACGGCAGCAGGGAGAAGGGGGCTGGTGAGAGGTGGCACTGACCTCCAGGGCTTCATCAACAATCCCTGCTGTCCCCTCACTTGATCCTCAAACAAAGCCTCTGCATAAGTCAGTGGTTCTCAGAGTGTTCATCCTGGACCAGCAGCCTCAGCTAGAAACTTGTTAGAAATACAAACTCCACAGACCCCAGTCTACAGAAGGCCTAGGAGTGGAACCCAACTATCTGTTTTAACAAGACTGTCATGGGAGTCTGAGGCTGTGCTAAAGGACCGTGGGCCTGAAGTTATCAGCACAAAAGGGACCATCTTATTACCCGAAATATTGGGTATATAGAGGTGTTTGTTTGTTTGAAACAGAGTCTCACTTTGTCACCCTAGGTAGAGTGTCATGGCATCATAGCTCATAGCAGCCTCAAACTCTTGGGCTCAAGCAATTCTCTTGCCTCAGCCTCCTGAGTAGCTAGGACTATGGGCTCCCACCACAACGCCTGGCTATTTTTAGAGACAGAGTCTTGCTCTGGCCCAGGCTGGTCTCGAACCTGTGAGCTCAGGCAATCGACCTGCCTCAGCCTCCCAGAAAGCCAGGATTACAGGTGTGAGCCTCTGTGCCCAGGGATGTATGGATTTTTTAACATGAATGGATTCTGAAAATTAAACAAGTGATGGAGGAAAAATTGGTCTCATTCAGGACTTAAAATTCATATTTATGGATATAGACTATGAATCTATTGATATAGCTATGGATACAGAGCTAATTAGATAAATACTCCTCTTTTTTTAACTGGCTTTCTCTTCCTGCTGGTTAAGCTAAATGAAATCTTGACATGTGCTCACTGCCTATTTATATGAGAATTATGTTTAACACTCTGAGAATTATATTTTGACACATGCAGTATTTTATGTTAAAGGAATTTAAGGTTCTTAGTGTATTTTTGTAAAATATGTAAAGCTACTGACATCTCTCAGTTTTGGTGAGAAATGTAATTACAGGCCAAGAAATCTGAAAGTGGTCTGAGATGTTTAGTGGCATCTAGGGACGCTAACAAGGGAAGGGATTAAACAGAAACATGGGATTAAACATCAAGAACTCTTTCGGAATTTTGATGTCAGATATGCCACAGGGAACTCTGAGAAAACATATTGTAGGCAAAACTCAACGGAAAGACTAGATAAATGCTTGATCTTTCATTTTAAAAACCTAAGAATAGATACCGCTATCTGTAGGATATTCAACTTGATAAAATTAGATAATACTTATTTTACTTTAGTAAAATTCAGGTGGAAATACTGCCTTAGCCTCACAGCTACCATAGCACAGGCTGGTAAAGAAATGTTAATAAGATATTATCTTTTTGTCTATTCGGAGAGTTTTATGCATGTGCCTAACTTAATGCATTTATTTTGCTTATTTTTCTTTTTTGATCAAAAGCATTTGATATAACTTGGCATTTCTTAAAGAAATTTTTGTCTAAAGAGAGTGTTCCCATTCTCGTTGGTAAAAATATGACACTTTAATGGGGCTTCAAATAGCTTTAACAATCCTTGAACCTTCTGAAAATGTCACTAGATTTGGTGTGTCTCTATGTGTATGCCTTTTTCTGGAGAGAAGAACCACTGCTTTCTAGATTACCAAAGTGAAGTTAAAAAGATAGGAATGTAAATAAGAAAATTAGTCAGAGGGAATTCACAAAATAAGAGGCTATGCAAGGCTGACCACCGAGACCAGCAGCTTTGAGGGGCACCACACGCCCAGTCCCACCAGTTTCCAGCTGTGAGAATTCAGGCACATTTCCAACCTAGTCTGTACCTTGGACACCTCATTTTAACACAGCCACAATATGTCTATGAAAAGGGCTCCTTTGGGGAATAAAGGGAATGATATACAAAATGTTTCCTCCATCGCAACCTCATGTTGATGCACAGATATAGGTGTGCAGGTGTCGGGGGAGCAGCTGGGCCAGAATTATTATCCCTAAAACAACCTTGAGCCTTAGTCACACCAGGGATTCAGAGAATGCAGGCCCCTTTCCAAACCAGATCATTAGATGGCGCTACCACAGCTGACACTATTCTACCTGTAAATATATCTGTGATCAGATTCTGAGTTTCAGAGAAAAGAAAGAAATAGGACAAATCTATATGAATGGACACAAAAAAGAAGATTAAACAAAGACTGAAATCATGCCATTTTTTGGTTTGCTGCTTTGCCAGGCTTGCCTTAATCAGCAACCCAATGCCTCTCTTCATAATATTAGAAGTCATACAATTCTTAAATACAGGATTGTCTTCAGGGCTGACTGTCTTGTACCACCAACTGTACAAGGACCACTGTACCACTATTTTTCAGAACTGTTCCTTTCACTGTCTTCTCCTTTCCCCATTTATTGAATAGTAACTGTGTTTACTCAATATTTCTTTAGCTTTACCAAAAT